GGCCCGGGCCGGCGCGGAGGTGGACGGTGGAGCCGGGCGCCGAGGTGACGGCTGCAGACCGGCCGCCGGGAGCTGCCTCCGACAAGCAGACGGGTTCAAGTGGGAAGGGCCACGTGGGTCAGTTTGGCTGTCTAAATTGGGCTGAAGCACGCTAAAGTCTTCAAAGTTCTCTCGACCTTTAATATTGATGGAGCTTCTTGTAACTGCTTATGTCTGTTGGTAACTGAATAGAAAAATCTTACACAATGTTCTTAAAACTTAGAAAGCCCAGCAAGTCACTTCATTGGCTGTCTCACTTCTTCTAGATTTATACACAATGTAATATATATTTATAGTATTTCGTGCACTACCAAGAGATATGAAGTCTTTGTAGGCAATAAAAGCAGTTTTGAATGTTTTAAATTTTTATTTATTTTTGTGCCCATTCTGGGGCTTGAACGCCAAACCTGGGTGCTGTCAGGAACTCTTTCACTTTGCCACTTAAGCCTTCGCTCCACCTTCAGCTTTTTTGGGGGTGCTTAATTGGAGATTAGAGTCTCAGACTTTCCTTCCAGGGCTGCCTTTAAACTATCATCCTTAGATCTCAGCTTCCTGAGTAGCTAGGATTGCAAGCGTGAAGCACACAGCACCAGTTTTATCTTTCAAAAGTTTAAAAACCTTGTGAGTTATTTAAGTGCTGAGGATGAAGCCAGAGCCTTGCATATATGCTAGAGAAGCACTCTACCACCAAACTCAGCCTTGAGACTCGGGAATTTTTCCCCCTGAGCTAAGGACTGAACTCAGGGCCTTGCACTTGCCAGTGCTTTTCCACTGAGCTAAACTCCAGGAATCGGGAATCTTCCCCCTCCACCCCCCCACTCCCACCTAGACACCATCACTGAGCTTTTTGCTCAAGGCTAGCACTCCACCCCTTTGAGCCACAGCTCCACGTCTGGGCTTGTGGTTGTTGGTTTTTTGTTTTCTTGTTTTTTTTTTTTTTTTGAGTAGTTTATTGGAGATGGACTTTCCTGCCCCAGCTGGCTTTGAACCAGGATGCTCAGATCTCAGCCTCCTGAGTAGCTAGGATGACAGGGGTGAGCCACCAGTGGCTGGTGAAATTCAGGAATTTTAATTGCCAATTACTTCAAAACCTGTGCTTATATGATATTAATATTTATTGATCCCTTTGTTCTCTAGTCTATTAGGGCATAGATACACCTGCAATCCCAGCACACAGAGATCAGGAGTAATCAGAGCCCATCTTGAACTAGTGAAATACTGCCTCAACTCCCTCAGCTCCTCCCCTTTCTAACCCAGACCCCTGCACTGTTTTCCCACAAAGTTTAGCATTTAAGTAACTTAGGTAACTTAGATAAGAGATTGTAGTGTGGGAATGCGCTGCTTGAGAACTGGGTTTTAGTACTGGTATTACTAACTAGTTAGGTGACTTTTGCTAAGATTTCTGGATCTGAAGTCTCTTTCCCAGTAACTGGGATTATAGGTATGAGCCATTGTGCCCAACTCTTCACATCAGAGAGCCATCTACATGCAGTCAGCTTGCTTTGGCTTCTTATTTTCTGAAGTAAATTTTTGCCACTTCAAGAATAAATGTATAGAGGCTGGGAAGGTGGCTCAGTGGTAGAGCGCTTGCCTTGCATGCATGAGGCCCTGGGTTCCATTCCTCAGCACCACATAAGCAAAAAGAAAAAAGCC